AGATGAGTTTTCAGTCTGCGCCGGAAGATGTGCAAGCTATCTGCTGTCCTGATTTCAATGGGGAGCTCATTCCACCATTTGGAGCCAGGATAGCAAACTCACGTGTTTTTGCTGATAGGAACTTGGGTCCCCCTCGCAGTGCGGGTGCAGAGAGCTGTTTGGCAGATGCAGAGCGGAGTGCACATGNTGCTTAAGCTTATGTATTCAGTCATTATTCAATGGTATACTAAAATCCATGTGAAAAAAATTGCTTCTCACTGTTCTCAGGTCAAATATTTATATGTGATTAAAAATGCGATTAATTTCGATTAATTAATTACAAAGCCTGTAATTAATTAGATTAATTTTTTTAATCGAGTCCCGGCCCTTTAAAGACACAATTTAAAAATCATAAATATTAAGTAAATGATAAATACATATTTATTAATTAATATAAATATACAAAAAAAAAAAAATATATATATTTATATTTATTTATATGCATAATAAACTAATTACAAATAAATATTAATAATTATTTTGGGGAACTTTTGGAATAATAAAAAAGCGTGCTGTTGAGAACCTTAGTGCATCAGTCATCAAACAAAGGAGAAGTGATGATATAAGAGGTTGCAGAACCATTAAGAGCTTTTTATACTATTAGAAGGTCTTAATTGAACTCAGTGTTTCGGGAATTAATAAATGTTTGAGTTTTTACACAATGTGAACAGTTTTATATATCGTATCAACATTAGCTTCTGACTTGCAATCAACATTGTCTTTGTTGTTTGATGATCATTTATTGGATCAACTTTATCCCGTTCTTTTCTCTCAAAGATACAGAGGATAGGAAGGCAGCAGAGGCAGAGGACACAACGGAAAACGAGATCAGTGACACTGAGGAGGATGATTTGACGGACAGCCAACAGACCAATAAGCTCTCAGAGCTTTACTCCACAACCATACCCAGCGTGGACTCTGCCATGGAGTCATGGGACGGCTCAGGGATGGACGCTGGATATGGCAGCCAGGGTAAGCTGTAGAGGAAGAGCAAATGTATTAATCCCACAGGGGGAAGGAAGCCCAAACAGTGTCTCCATCTGCCCTACATCACTAGATAAATCCCACAAGAGGAAACTCACCGACAGACAGAAAAGACAGAGGTGTCAGAGCAAATGTTGGTCCTTGCGGGACTCGAACAAGTTCCCATTCGGTTCCAAAGCTAAATCCCTAGAGACTGAGAAACTGCCGCCCCAGATTTAAAAAAAAGATGGTTAAAGTTCAAAATTGCCTTACACTGCAAAACAAATTTAAAAAAAAATCTTTAGGACTGCTGAATTGGAACGGGAACATTTGTCGCATGTCAACCGTGGTGGCAGTGGCTCTTAAAAATGCTCAAGAGGACATAACAAATTGCAGACCCTTATAGTTTCTATCATATAGCAAGGAAACATCCCAAAACATCCAAAATTTGTATTCATGGATGTATAATAAGAACTGGATACAGCGTGGGAGGCGGGGCTTCATTCATTCCTATGAGAGTTGCTCTTTGGCGCATGATGATAAAATGGCCCAACTTTTGAGAGAGCGAAACGTCACAGATTACCCGGCATGCCTGAGAAGTACCCGTATGTGCGCTCATAGCGCATGCGCAACTTTAACCAAAATGCTCGTTCACATCAAGCATTTCAATTTGCGTACACGTAACAGAACTGCGCGTTCATGACAACATGGTAATGGTTTGTTATTATGATGGATTTGATATTAACGAGGCGGCAGTTAGCAGCTAGCGGCTAGCTAGTAATTATGCTTATGTACACATCAATCGTTATGTACTTATATTACGCTGTAACAGGATCTAGTGATATCCAAGCAACAGAGCTTCATTTAGCATGAAACAATTATTGCAATGTATATATATTAGGGCCGGGACTTTAACGCGTTAATTAAGATTAATTAATTACACAAAAATTAACGCGTTAAAAAAATTAACGCATTTTAATCGCACTTATTTTTGCACCGCGGAACGTTTCTCACTGGATGAGTTTCAGGGGTACCGATTATACTGGAGCACCAACTAACGTTCATGACTTCAAACAACAACAAACCACAGTGAACAAACAAGCTGATGAGACCGCTTTGGTTGGCCCCGTGGATGGGACATTTTGTTTTAAAAAACGGACGGATGGAAGCATCGATAAGAGCACGGTTGTTTGCAAATTATGCAAAAAGGAATTTGCGTATCACCGCAGCACATCAAGCCTCAAGTATCACCTCAATGCAAAACCTATAGCAGCTAGCGTGGAAGCTAGCGTGGACGTTAGCCCGACTCGGAGTACAAGGACCCACTGGGTCCTTGTACTCCGAGTCGGGCTAACGTCCACGCTAGCTTCCACGCTAGCTGCTATAGGTTTTGCATTGAGGTGATACTTGAGGCTTGATGTGCTGNGGTGTTAGTGGATCACCGGAGCTGTATTAGATTAACATCTACACATGCTTATTGTAGTTGTAAGTGCACTGCCTCGCAGCCTGTAGCACCATCCTTGACGGAGCATATGTGTGGGCTGGACCTGTATTTTTCAGGAAAGGAGTGAGCAGAGGGTATAGTTGTCGATTCTTGTTCTGTTTTCT